TATGTTATTGTGTGTGTGTGTGTGTGTGTGATGTAACAGTAGTCCTATATGAGTTACTCTTTTGTTACTTGTAATGCGCTACAGCTAACACTGATAATGCTAGCATGAATGAAAGTGGCTTTATTGTGTGTACAGCTATACACATGATGCATTAATTACGCTTCTTACATCATATTATATTATTATTATATTAATTGTATTTATTATATACTCACCGGCCACTTTATTAGGTACACCATGCCGCGCTCGAAGTCACTTAAATAAGTTCCGATGCTCAGTCTGACCTGCAGCAGATGGTCTTGACCATGTCTACATGCCTAAATGCAGTGAGCTGCTGCTGCCGTGTGATTGGCTGATTAGACATTTGTGTTAACGAGCAGTTGGTGTACCTAATAAAGTGGTCGGGGAGTGTATACTGCAGAATGTTTGATTCTGATTGTCTGTGGAGCACTCTAGCTGTGTGATTGTATGAAAACAATGGCACTATAAAGTAGTTCCGGCAGGTTTGGAGTGCAGTGCATCTCCTTATCACTCTATGAATGAATGACTAGAGTTATTTCACAGCTACAACAGTCAAAAATCACATCAGAACACAACAGAATCAGGACACTAATGCTATACACAGGTTTGTGGACAACAAAACCTGACTGACACTCTGTCAAATGCAACATCTCAACAGCGGAGATCAGCACAATAATACACTCTGATCTGTTCAGTTATTAGACAATAATGCTACATCATAACCTCGCCTATACATTATTGTCAAACAACTCACCGTGACTAACTCCTCACTGAATGCATTGATGGCTAAGCATGTGTGTGCTGGTGTTGCTAACGCTGCGCTCCTGTGGCCTCAGGTACGTTTGGGAAAGCGGCGTGGCGTCCAACACAGGATCACAGCGCCGTCATCCTCCACGAGAACCCGTACGCAGCTCTACACGCAGAGGAGGAGCTCACACACACACCCTCACACACACACAGCAGTGTTTACGAGCAGCCCTTCGACAGCCGGACGATAGACAGCAATCCCACAACACCCCTGGGCTCCTAGCACTCGCTCGCTCCGCCAGAACCCCCTCTACCTCACAGAGAGCTGAATGTAAATGAGCAACGCTTGTACAGAGAAACCCCGTGTATGGCTTTTTATACAGATCTATATTTTGTAAATGAATAGTGTAAATATGACTGCAGAGCGTCAGCGCTGTAGAGAAGCCGCTGGGCTGGGCAGGAGGTTTATTCAGCTTTGGCTTTTGCTTGGAGCTCAAGTAAAGCACCGTTTGCACAAACTATAGTACGCAATAAACACTCCATGAGCTGCTACACACTCGCGTCGTCTTCATTCTGTGTTCGTGCTTTTATTAATCATCATCATGTAGTATAGGTTGCAGGTTATTATTGCAAGCATTATTTTATGAAGCGGTCTGAACCTTATGCGCTTGATTGAATCCCTTATGTGATCAGCGACATCATCTAATGGGTAAATGTGATTTCAGCTTGTCTTTGTTTTCAGTAAGGCTTGAAAAAGGCTTTGAAGTAGAGATCTGCACGGGACTAAATGTTGAATCCCGCTCCCGCCCGCACCCGCCAGGTTTTAGCCCGAATCCGACCGCTCCTGCTTATATAAAGAATTTATTGTCCCGCTGCCCGACCCGCCCTGTTTTCTGCCCGCCGCGCCCGATCCCGCTAAAGAGCGGGGGAGAACAAAACCGAAAATCCCCCAGCTGTACAGTCCAGTCTGTATAAACACACACACACAGCACCAAGCACACACACACAGACAAATCTCTCTCTCATACGCGCGCGCGCACTAACACACACACAAGCACCAAGCAGACACACAGGCGTTTGCTGTTATATCAACTCAAAGGCTTGTAATACCATGTATCAAGTACCAATGTAATACCAAAAGGCTTTATATAAAGGTATATAAATACTGAGTCGCGCCAGCTTCGGGCCGCAGCGTTACTCGTAACATTACTCTCGGGCCGATTCCGGTACAGATGCGGCAGCGTCGGCTCGCTTACGGCCGCCGCATCTAGCCCGATTGATTCGGGCCGGAATCGGGCGGTGAGTCCACAAGCATCCGGAGTCCGGCAGCCGGAGCCGGGCCGAGTGGTAAGTCTCCGGCAGGCGAGAATCTAGCCGGAACTGGCCAGAGTGTATTTTGCTATCTGGGAAAACTCTCTCTCTCATTCGCGCGCGCGCACTAACATACACACACACAAGCACCAAGCTCTCTCTCTCTCTCTCTCATTCGCATAGAGATATCCGCGATATTGCTAGACAGCCCGCTCCCGTCCCAAATTAAACCCGTTACCGACCGCTCCCGCGATTTATTCGGAAATTTATTAATGCAGACCTCTACTTTGAAGAACCCTCAAAGTACATGATGTCTTCAGATTTTATACTATTTAAGTGATATTAAGTGATTCTAAGTGACATTTGAAAAGGTTTCATTTGCTTGGGTTATATTTGGAGGACTGCTGAGAAACCTTACGCTCCATTCACACGGGGCTTCAGCATCAACGCTTGACTGAAGGCGTGTCTGAAGTTGGGGCTGATGCGATCGTCATAACAGTGTCAGCCAATGAAATTCAGTCAGCAATAGGCCACTGTCTAGCTGGTGTATTTGCATACAGCGATCTGATTGGCTGATGCTTCCGTCTGCACTTGAAAAGTTGAGCTAGTCCCAACTTCTGCAGCGAGCAACACCTCTGAAGCGGCGCAGACGGATCCACTATGTAGTTCGGCAAGGCCTGACGTCACCCATTCAAAGTGAATGGGAAGCGCTGACTCTGACGCCCCGTGTGAATGGAGCGTTAGTGATTAAAAACAAATGTTGTGCTTAATAATCAATTCAGTTCATCTTTATTTCTCCAGCGCTTCTACAGTGCAGATTGTATCTCAGCAGCTGAGCGCTGAAGTTCTAGTGAACTGAAGCTGTGTCAGTCCAGTGTTCAGAGTTTAGTTCAGCTCAGCGTGGTTTAATCTTCACTGCTGAGAGTCCAAACACTGAAGAGCAAATCCATCCATGTGCAGCTCCACAAGCCAAACTGAGCAAGCCAGTGGCGACAGTGGAGGAGCAAACTTCACCAACTGACCAAAGTGAAGTAATGAAACAGGCTCAGTTGGACACGACCATTTCTCCTCTGGCCAAACTTCCTGTGCAGAGCTGCAGTCTAGGCGCTGGAGACTGGAGAATGCTGGACGTCCATCGTGGAGAAGCTGCAGGTGTGAGTAGGTCACCAGCGGGTGTTCAGGCTGGTGGACTCGTCTATCACTGGGGTCTTTCAGGAATCATGCTGTCATGACCACCACAGCATCTGCTCAGGATGCGACCTGGTCCAGGATTATGGAGAAGTCCTCTATGGTGGCCCTCATATCCTTACAGGTTTGGGATCACATCATTGGTGCTGCACATATAATAGTTTTGGTATTTTTATATTTGCATGATATTTTCTTCTGCTTTATGGTGCCTTTTTGATGATATTATTTTAGTTGTGATCATTTGTAATACTTTTAGAGGAGTCGACGACTCTTTCCATGAGAAACTCAATCGCTTTACATGCTGCACTTTCAGCTTTAAAACACTACAAGTTGTTTTAATTGGCTTAGAGCTGTGTTACACACTGAGAAAAACGACAGAAATCTCTAATATAGGCTCTTTAAATTACACCAATCTGTCTTAAAGAAAAAAATATGACTAACCGTCAAATTCTGCCAGCAGTTCAACAAATCCACTAGAGTCGCTGATGCCTCCTTAATTGTAAGTCTCTTTGTATAAAAGCGTCTGCTAAATGTAAACAATGAAAAACCAACATTAATCATTCATTCATTCATTTTATTTCAGTTTATTTCCTCATTTATCAGGAGTCACCACTGCAGAATGAACCGCCAACTATTCCAGCATATGTTTTACTCAGCATGGCACTTTCTTGTATGTTAACAGCTGCACTGAATGACCACTGGTGTCGCTAAATACATTCAATCATCCATTCATTTTCATTTGGTTTACCCTTATTTATAAGAGGTTGCCACAATGGAATGAACCGACAACTATTCCAGCATGTTTTGCGCAGCAGATGCCCGTCCAGCTGCAACCCAGTACTAGTAGACACCCATACACACTCATTCATACACTACGGCCAGTTCAGTTGATCAGTTCCCCTATAGCGCATGTGTTTGGACTGTGGGGGAAACCGGAGCACCCGGAGGAAACCCACACCAACACGGGGAGAGCTTTAATATGTATTAATTAGATTAAAAGCCTTCAGCATTTCTCTGGGAGTGCAGTGGCTGGTGTTTAAATGTTTCTGTCTTGTTGTGATAAACTGTCGCTGCAATCTTCGCTTGTAGTTAAGACACGCTGTAATGTAGTCAGACTAGCCTGAGCTGCTGATTCAGCCGGCTGCTGTCGTGCACATATGAAGTCAATATTATTCGGCCCCCTGTAAATTTAATCTTTCAAATATTTCCCAAATGATGTTGAACAGATTCAGGAACTTCTCACAGTATTTCCTTCAATATTTATTTTTCTGGAGAAAGTCTTATTTGCTTTATTTGGGCTAGAATAAAAGCAGTTTTTAATTGTTTTAAAACTAATTATAAACAAATTATAAAGGAGTTCACATTGAACAGGAGGTCTAACAGATCTGAACGGTGTGTCTGTGCAGCAGCAGGTACAGTGTGAGACAGCTTTTACAGTGTGTGTGATGTGAACACAACAGCAGCGTCTTGATCAAAGCGTCTGCAGACGAGAAGCGCTTCGTTTTAAGCGCAGCCAACAAAGGGTTTCCTGGCAACAACAGAACAACTGGAATTCCGGAATAATTCCCCCACTTTGATTTCGGCTCCAGTGGAACTAGACAGGAAATCAACTATTTCTCAGACCACCGGCGGGTTTTCCCTGATCACTGACCCCGCATCAGCTCGGACCAGGCAGAGCCCGTGCGTTTCTCATGGCTGTGTCTTATCTCACCGCCAGACACGGAGGATTTCAGAGGCCATTTGTGCTCATTGTTGCCAGATGTGGCAGATGTTGATCATCGCTGAGCTCACCGCACTCCTCAATCTGGACGAACTAATTCAGCTTCAGGATGGAAATCAATCAGGGCGTCCTGTAGACCAGGGGTAACCCTAACTTTTTAGCATGTGACTCCAAAATAAGACTTTTGACCCTCACTATTCTCAGGGGTGGTTATGAATATATAAACATTACAACAGTGCGCACACACACACATGCCAGTAGGCCTAAAGCAGGTCACACTTTACAAGGTTTCATCAGATACTGTAGTCACAAACATGAACTAATTAAGATCAGTACTTGATAATAGCGTGCATTTAAAGGTTATTAATGCATTCGTAAATATTAATCATAGTTCAACATTTACTAATGCATTATAACATCCAAATGCATGCTTGCTAACATTAACAATTAATGACTTTATTTTCATGAACTAACATGAATGAATACTGCAATAACTGTTTTGCTTATTGATGTTAGTCAATGCTTTAACCGGGGTCCTGCATAGTTTTGATCCAACTTTCATCAACACACCTCCCTGGAAGTTTCTAGTATACCTAGAAAGAGCTTGATGAGCTGCTTCAGGTGTGTTTTATTGGGGATGGAAATAAAATATGCAGGATACCGGCCCTCCAGGACCAAGTTTGGACATCCCTGCTTTAACTAATATAATCACATTGTAAATTACTCATGAACATATTGATAAGACAACAGTCTAACAACTTTATTATCACTTATTCAATTGTTTTATTGAATAATAATCTAATGAGACTGCTGGGCACAATGTTTACATGCTGAAAACAGATGATCAATAGTACAAACTACACATTTTCCCTCTTAATCCCAACATGGAAAACCAGCAGCAATCAAGAACACATGATTATCTGCTGTCAGGACTTTTGCAATCAAATAATGCAGGGGTGTCAAACTCAATTCCTGGAGGGCCG